GAGCCGGGCCAGGTGCACACTCTGAGCCATTGTGCCCCTGTGTAGTGAGTACAGTGCGCTTTTTCTTGATGGACACAGGGCTGGCTTTAAACCCCCCCCCCCCCGTTGCTGCCAGTTTCTCAGGCAGCCCTCTCTTACTCTGTTTTTGAAAATATATCCCACTCTGAGACCCATTCCATCCGTTCTCCCTGCTTTAAGTCTTCCTGTGAGAGTATATCACATTTCCTGTGTATTTGTCAGTGATACAGTTGTCCCCTTAGCCTTCTGCATCTACTGCAAGACCCCCCACTGAATGCCAGAAGCCAAAGGCTATGAAACCCTATACATACTGGGTTCCCTCCCTCCCCTCCCCCTTCCTCTACCCTCCCTTCTCCCCTCTCCTCTCTTCCCGTACACTCACATTATAACAGACTTCGGCCTTTTCTTACAAAACACACTTTAAAGGGCGTATTTTGACATCTCCAAATTGCCAGTGTCAGTATTCTTTAGGTCCATGAATAAACAGAGGCCGTGTGAGCAGCTGGTCTGATAAGTAGATGGGGAAGGGGTTGTCCCGGTGGAAGCGTGTCATTGGTGGGGTTGCCCTGCACAAAGCAATTTGTGCTCCCTCTGGGATGGTGTGAGTCGATCCTCTCTCCTCAGTCAAAAACCAGGATTTGTTCATTTTAATATTTTTGGACCGCAGTTGACTGCAAGTCGTTAAAACCATGTAGGTTACTCTTTGTGTTTATAGTATCTCTTTCTCCCCAGCCTTGAGTTCTGTTTTCTAAACTACTGTATCTCGTAAGGTTTTAAGGCCCCAGTGCCTAGCAACTGGTGTAGACAGTACAGGTGTAAATGGAAAAAAAAATGAATGGCGTGGATTGGTGAACAGAAGTGTGGCATTCAGGGCCTTTGGTGACACTTGCCTTTGTCCCCCTGAGAGCAAACAGCCTCAGCAGGGAAGAGCATAGGGACCCAGCTGGGTGTGTGTGTGGGGGGGAAGAGTTGGGGAAGATACCTGACATGTCAATCAGGCTGGTGAGTCATGCATGGGTCGGCCCCCTCCCCCGCAATCAGGGCCTGTGTCACAGATAGCTTCCCCGCTTCCCTTTCATCATAGGCCCAGCAAGCTGTCCTGCAAAGTATATCCCTCTTGACTGCTTCTCGTGTCTGGTCTTTCAAAGACTGGCTGCTTTTTCACTATGTCCTGAGTTTGACTGGGGAGAGTTCTACAGAGAAGAAAAGCATCCTCAGAACAGATGTGGCGCGCTGGCAAAGCCTCCCCCTCGGTGTGCTTTTGAAGGGAGCCCCTGTGCACGCCCGCTCCTGCAGGCCTCACAGTAGAGCAGTTTAAACAAAGGATCCAGGACTGACGCTGTCTTCGGTGTCTCCAAGTACTAAAAACACCAGTCTTTTTGGTAGTCCGCTGCTGGATTCAGTACTCGTGGACTGAAATTTGACCTTACATTTTAATCAAGCCGCTTTTCTCTGGCCACGTTAGCCTAGATTCTCAAACTGGACTCTGTCCTAGGCTGTTGTCCTTGAAATAATGGGTCATTCAGAGCAGTTCCCGGAACTTATTTTTTTTCCCAATCCACTAATGGCTCTCCTGCCCTGCCCCCCCAAACCAGTTAGTGTTGTATCATTTAAAGGCTTTCTTCACTCCAGTTTCCAGCTTCCCTTTGGCCTCTGCTTAGAACACCAAATCTTCCAGCCTTCTGTAAAGTCCCTTAGCTAAAACAAGCAGAGTGAACACAATGATTCTTGTACTCTTGTGTGTCTCTCTGGGAACTATTCCTGATGTTAGAATTGGTTACTTGAATTTTATTCCTACAGCGTAGCATTAAATGTGTGCATACAGCTGCCACAGAAGTACATCCCAACAGTGGCTGTCTTTAAGACCTGGGTTTGGTTTGGGGCTCCTTACACCTTCCGGGCACGTCACTTGATCTCGAACCTTCATCCCTGTTTACACTCAGTTGGACACAGGAAGCGATGTTTAGCGTTTTCATTCAAATCCTGACTAATTTCTTGTTCTTACAAATTCGTCTCCTGAATTATTATCCATCCCATGCCTCACCTCTCCCCCCCAGAGGTTTGGCAATTCTTAGAAATGGTTTTGAAGGTTATCAGAACCAGAGGCTCAGTGATACTGTTTGGTGGACAGGAACCAGGGATGGGCCCGTGATCCACAGCGCACTGGACAAGGATGGTTTCCCTCAGAGTGTCGGTACAGAGCAGTACAGACTGCTGTAGCTGACTGGTAGCAGACATCCGAGGGCTTACTGCCTGCCCCCACACTACCTTAAAAGACTTACGTATAGTAACTAAATCCTGTCAGTAATCATCTAGTCTTCGAGACAGTTACTTTACTGCCCCCCTCACTTTACAGATAGGAAGTTTAACTGCCTGCCACATTTTGAGTAGAGAAATGGGTTTCAAGGCTTAGTTGCCTTTAAAGCACCCAGTCCTGATCCACTCATTGATCAGCTTAAACTGTGCTTTTATCCCTCCAATGTGACTAAGAATGCCCATTGGGGTATTAAGATCTAGAGGTAAAATGTCTCCGGGGAAGTCATGGTCTTTGTTTCAGAACTGGTGAGCCCTTCACTGGGATGGGGGTTGATGCTCTCAGTGTCTACCACAGGCTAAGGGAGTCAGTGTCTTTTCAGAGCAGGAGAGATGCTCAGACATAGCCCCTGATCTGCTGCAGTCCAGCATTGGTGTTTCTCTTAGTTCCCCTTCGTATTCCAGCCATATTGACTTAATCATAATCGTTAGAGCTATCAGACATTTCCATGCATAAAGTTGATTACCTGGAAATCAGCCAGAGAGCACAAATACTTGGGTGTCAAGCCAAGCGTGGGGAGGACCATTGAATGATTAGCACTTCACTGAAACAGGCATCGCTTTTGCCCTTGGAATTCACAATGTTGGTAATGTTTTCTTTTTTTACACCGTATTTGTTCTTTGAAAATATCATGCGTTGATAGAGTGTATTTTGATCATATCTGTAAGCAGTTTTCCTGTCCCGGCTGCCTGCTCCCAAATAACCGACACAGAGGATTAATACTACTTACAAATGCTTGGCCAATAGCTCAGACTTATTACTGGCTAACTCTTACACTTAAATTAACTATATTTATTAGCTATACTTCACCATGTGGCTCGTGGCTTCCTCGGCAGTTGGCTGGTGTCTCCTTTGAGTCTGCCCTTCCTCGTCCCAGTGTCCTCCATTTGGTCGTCCTTCCTAACTTTATCCTCCCTTGCTATCGGCCAGTTTTATATTAACCATTGAGAGTAATACATATTCACAGGTACAGAAGGATTGTTCCACAGCGCATGCCCATCCACCGTTAACTCCCAACGCCACATTAGAGCTTACTACAGGGACAGAGAAAGTTGGAAATGCGTCTTCCTGACTTTAATAAAAAGGATTTAAACAGGACACAGAGGAAAAGACCCTTTTCAGTCTGCAGATGTACATCTGTGTTAAAGAGAGCATGCTAGCAACTGCAGACTCTTGGAAGATGTAGGTGAATGTGAACTGCTGCCTCAGGGGCCGTTGCATCTACTTCTGTCTGGAACAGCGCAACTGTATTTTCAGCACTTCTAAGTACATCATGCTTATGGAGTTGATAACCATAAAACTGAAGTTGTGTTAAATTTAACTGAATTCTTGTTTGCTTGTTTTTGTTTTATTGTTTGTTTGTTTGTTTGTTTATTTATTTTTGCCATTTTGGAACTTTCTTTGTAGGCCATGCTGGCCTCAAGCTCACAGGACCCACCACCCACCCAACTGCCAAATAAATACATTAAGACTTATTTTTACTTATGAATGCCTAACCTTAGCTTGGCTTGTTTCTAGCTAACTTTTCTAACTTACATTATCCCATTTATCTTTAACTACATTTTGCCTCTGGGCTTTTTAACCTTCCTTTATTCTATGTCTTTCTTTACTTCTTACTCCCTGGCTGGCTCTGTGGCCGGGTGCCTCTGTCCCCTGGCGTCCTCCTCTTCTTCTCAATCTTCCCTCCTCCTCATATTCATTCTCTCTGCCTGGCAGCCCCGCCTATCTCTCTCCCGCCTAGCTATTGTCTGTTCAGCTCTTTATGAGACCAATTAGGTATTTAGACAGGCAAAGTAACACAGTTTTATAGAATTAAACAAATGCAACATAAAAAAATGCAACGTATCTTTGCATCATTAAACAGATATTCCACAGCATAAATGAATATAACATATCTTAAACTAATATTCTGGAATACAGGTTATTTCAAGAGGGGAGCAGGGTCAGAAATGGGTAATGGAGTGTATATGATTGGGAGAGAGGAAGAGGACCAGCAAAAGGCGTGACATTGGTGAAGGGGTGTACGTATGTGTAAAAATGCGTAACAACATTGGGGGAAGGATTGGGTTAGCAGGATGGCTCAGCAGGTAAAGGTACTTGCTTCCAAATGTGGCAGCCTGAGTTCGAGCCCCATGGACCCACGTAATAGAAGGAGAGAACCAGTTCTGGAACTGGTCCTCTGACTTCCATATTCCCCTATATTCTCTTTAAATAAATACAATACGAATATTTTAAATTATATTGCATATATTATATTATATACAATGTTGTGTACATATAGTGACAAGCAAGGATACTCCTCTTCTGCTCCTGTCCTTGAGCGTCATTTCCTTGTGGGGATGGATGTCTGCCTCCTTTCAGCCCCGCCCATCCTTTTACACCAAGGTTCAGCATCACAGGGATGGTTTTTATGGAACTGAGAAAAGAAGTTGCAGAAACTGGGACTTGGTTTTCAAGGTGAATTCACAGGATGCGTCATCGTTCTGATTATCAAATTAGACTTAGCACATGGGTTGCATGGAGGAGTTAACAGTTTTGTTTTTGGTGGAGAGAATTCAACCTTTCCTTCTGCACCTTGGAGACTGGCTTGTTCTTGTTCTTTTAGGAAAATGCATAGAAGAAGTATTTTGAGTAGACACTGATCAATGTCTCCTTTTCTCTCTAATAGGTTTTAAAATGGAACATTTCGATGCATCACACAGTACCTATTTCAGGGCATTACTGGGCCCCCGAGGTAAGGTGGTTTTAGGTTTTGCTCACCATCTTTGGCTTCCCTCCCATCCCTTTATGGCCTCTTGTAAATATTGCATGAGGAGATCTTAGAAAATGTTTTCTGTGATGAGATCCAAGCTTTATCCCCAGTAACAAGGGGGCCTGTGAAGTTGAATGCTGTTCACTGGCTCTTGGGACAGAGACTCAGCTGCTGTGGCCATCACTCAGCTGGCATCGGCTGCCATGCCTATAGCCTGGGATTAACGGTGGTACACTTTTCTTAAATCTTGACTCCCTAGAAGAAACCAGGCCGGTGCATTCCAAGCTTGCGCTCAGCCTGACAATAAGATGTTACCTCCCTTGCAGAGTCCTGAGGGCTGCTTTCCTCTAAAATCTGGGTCTTGCTGTATCACCCAGACTGGCCTTGAACCCCTGGGGATCCTCTTGCCTTCGCTACCCAAGTGCTGGGCTGTGTGTGTGGCACCACATCCCAATAGAAGTATATGCTTACGGTGCTGGGACTGAACCCCACAGTTTCATGTGTGCTGGGCCAGGGCTCTGTTGTTGAGCTATATACGATGTAAATATGCCCATAAGGATTTTTTTTCTCTCATTTTTAAAATTTAATTTTCATGTGTATTTTAGAATATGTTAATTTTGCAAAGTATCGGGCTTCATTTTGACATTTCCATGTCTACAGACTGTCCTTGGTTTGTGTATGTTCCCTCCCTTGTCCCCTCCTTGTCACCTGTCCTCTTCCACATCTCCAATAGTGCTCTAAGGATTGGTTTCTTTGTTTCTAACTCATTTTACTTCAGGTCATATGCTTGAAATCCCTTGTTATTGGTCTTCATTCTCCATTGTTTTTATGTAAACGAGCTCTGCACAGCCTTTTAGTGTTGTTGATGATGTCTTTAGAAAAGAACCCCTTGAGAGGCTCGCAGAGATGCATTGGATGTTTTCTGTCAGTGTGGTAGAATAACTGAAAAACATCAGCTCAGAGGAGCAAAGGTCATTTTGGCTTCTGGTTCTAGAGGTTCCAGTCTGTCTTGGACCTCTCATTTTAGGCCTGTGACCAAGCTGACTGTCACTGTTGGAAGAGCGTGGCAGACGGTGTAAGTGCAGACCCAAGGATAGGATTCCCTTCAAAGGGAAGCCTTGCTGACCTATACTGTCCGTCAGGTCTCACTGCCTACAGTATTCAGCACTTCTCAGTAATCTAGTCAACAATGAACCCAGCAATGGATTCATCCATTAGTGATGTCGGGGGCCTCATAATCCGGTCGTTTCCCCCGAAGCCCTAACTAGGAAGCTGTTCGTGAACATCTTATCAGACCAAAAGATTCTCAGTTTCACTCGTGATTTTTAAAGCGCAGAAGAAAACAACAAAGGGCTTCACCTCTCGGTATGTCAGCGGTGAAATGTGTCCGATACCATCTGTAATAAGAGTAAGAGTGGGGGCAGCCTAAGTTGGTGCAACCTCTTCCCTGGCAAGTGAAATGCACCTGACTAGTGACCCTAAGCTGTTACCCTGCAGTGATTCTTGATCAGCTATGCAAAGATACATGAAGGATGCTCATTGTGGAATTGTCAAGGCCGGGCATCAGCTCATCTCCCATTCATTAGGAACAGGTTAAGCAAGAGGGTGGTCAAACAAACAAAGAAAGAAAGTTAGGTTGGGAGTGGTGGCACAAGCCTGCACTCCTGCACACAGGAAGCTGAAACAGGAGACTTAGGTGTTTGAGGGTAGCACAAGTGAGTAACAAGTCCCGAGACATACTGAGCTGTACAGTGGGAGACAAAGAAGAGTTAGTTGCATCTGCACCAGCCTGTGTCGAGACATTGACACCTTGGCTATGAGAGACAAAAACATCCAACTTCTGTTTTTTTTTTTTTTGTTTTTTTTTTTTTTTTGAGACAGGGTTTCTCTGTGTAGCTTTGGAGCCTGTCCTGGAACTTGCTCTGTAGACCAGGCTGACCTCGAACTCACAGAGATCCTCCTGCCTCTGCCTCCCAAATGCTGGGATTAAATGCTGGGATGAAGCACCACCACTGCTCGGCAAACAACAAACAAACAGATAGATAGATAAAATCCAACTTTTAATTGTCTGAAATAACAATAAAAATGATGATCTTACTTTCAAGGAGGAGTAACTGCTGTGCTTTTCAAGAGTTCTAGGGTAGTAACCAAGAACCCTGTTCTCTGTGTTTGTCCGTTTTGCCACCTGCATCTGAGCAGCTCGGTCCTCAGGGTGGCTACCTGTATGGTTGCAGCAGCTCCAGGCTGTACATCCAACACTAGAAGACATTTGTCCATTGTATGAGCTGAAGAAGAAAGGGGGTTTCATCTCAAAGCTTAGTGGTCACAACTGTCCCACAACCCATTTCCAAACTGGTCGCCACGCAGAGCAGTGAGCTACCATGATCAGCTGGGTCCTGGGGAACTCTTCGTCTAGGGCCGGGGGGGGGGGTGGACCAGCTGCTATGGGTACCCTGGGAGATGGGGATGGATACTTGCTAAAAATATACTAAACAAAAGAGCCAGGCGCTGGACTAGACTTTGAAGTAAGCGGACATGGAAAATTTGTAGGTAGATATGTGTATTCATTATGTTTATAAGATAGATGTACACACAGAAGACGTTAGCTGGGAAGTGGTAACTTACTCTTTCCGAACAGACTGCTAAGGGGCAGAGCTGAGAACAGAAGGCGTTGGGATTGTCTTTGTTGCAGCTACTTCCCTGCAGGACTTCTGAGAACTTGCCAGTACCATCCCCCACCACTCAAGCATAACTGGTGGGGAAGATGTGGAGGCAGCGTCTCTAGCTGGAGCCAAAGAAAGAAAGACACGCGGGGAAGGCTCAGAGTGTCTGCCAGAAGGAAGACTGGCACTTAGTTCCCCAAAGGGAGCATGTGTTTTATTGAGCATTTTCCTCCTGCCTGTGAGATTAAGGCAAAAAATAATGCGGGAGGCGAGCATTTCAGAGGACAGGGCCGTAGGCAGTAGTAGCAGGTCCGTGGGCCTAGGGGAGAGGGTAAGAGTGGAGTGTCCTCTTCTACATGGGTAGCCCCCGCGAGTCAGCATGGTCTCAAGTTCCTGGGGTGCTCTAAGTATCTTACATCGTCCCTGTCTGATCAGGGCTGAGCCAATAGCATTTCATTATTTTTACCCATTGACCCTCTACTGCTGGCCTTGTTGTCTGGCACAGTGTCCCTAACCTGGCTACGGGGCAGAGAGCTCGGGCCTGCACATGCTGGGCACTCACTGGGCTGAAGGGCTTTTTAGTGCAGGCTGCCCACCTGACTCCATGTTAATTCAGTAAACATAATAAACATGATTTAGCTTTAAGTTTCTTTCAGGTGTTTTGAAAGCATGTTATTTTACTATTTTACCTAGCAAAACCACAAGTAATAAATCATGCTAAACCTGTATCAAAAAGCTTTTTGCCTTGCTTGATGTGTATCTCTATGATTCTGCATTGTGCAGGCTAAATGCGACCGTTAGTGTCATGAGGCTTTGAGGGTGGGTTTTCTTATGTGTACCTTACTAATCACCAAATGGTTTTCTTCTCGTGTTTTTCAGATACAAGGGTAAAAGGATGGTTTCTTCTGGACAATTACATCCCTACGTTTGTCTGTTCTGTCATTTATTTACTCGTTGTGTGGCTGGGACCAAAATACATGAAGAATAAGCAGCCATTCTCTTGCCGGAGAATTCTCGTGGTGTATAACATTGGCCTCACCTTGCTGTCTCTCTATATGTTCTATGAGGTAGGTCAGTCACTGACGAGGGCTTCCTTCCTCTCTGCTGTCCTGGTAACTGCTCTTCTCAGTTGTGTCCCTAAGTGAGGAGAGAGAACTGGGCAGCTAGTCTATAAACGCATTTGGAGGAGGTTATAAAATTGATCTTTAACACACACACACACTCACACACACACACACAAAAAGCTGTTGGTACAGATGTTGCCTAGAATACCTAAAGTAGAAGTCTTTGCTATTGATTCTTTGGTTCCTCATGTTTCATGTGGCATTCGGAACTAAACTAAATATCCTCCAAAAACATTTGTATGCGTGCAGAATACCGTCTGGAAAGTGAACAAAATGTGAAAAGCCGAGCTGTGGGCATCTTAGTATTAAGTGTTTAATAAATGCTTGTTTCTCATGTGGAGGTGGAGGAGGAAGGAAGTGGGTGGTACTCTGGTAAATTCTGTGGCAGTTCAGCCTTTGTTCTGACCTGGTAACTTGTTGGATCTCACAAGTTTTGTTTTTGAAGTTTTGCTGTGCATATTCTTGTACGTGGCACGGCATGAACACGAGGGTACTTTTACATGACTATACACCATCAGTATGAGCTGATTCTAAAAGCCTTGGTAAGATCCTCATTTAGAATTCTAATGGTCCATGTGAGTTCAGGCCCAACAATTTCTTTTACATGACACATGTTCAAATGAAGTGTTTTGCCTTCAAAGACAAATAATCAGATGCAACATTTTATTTCTCCCTATTTTGCAAGGGATAATAATACAGCCTGAAGGAAGGGAGAAGTTTTTCTCTATTGGTAAGCCCAGGCTGTGCAGCCAGGAAGGAAGGGTGGGGAAACTGTCTTCTATTGGTAAGCCCAGGCTGTGCAGCCAGGAAGGAAGGGGGAAACTGACCTCCATTGGTGAGCAGAGTTTGCATCCTTGGGCAGGACTCTGTTCTCCAGGCTCATTCCTAAATCCCCTTGGACAGAGAATTCCTGTCTATACACAAAATGGACATCGTTGGATTCTCTTATTATGGCTTTTATTCGTCAGGGGTTTGTAGAGAAGAGGATGGGGCAGATGGTGAACTGCGGTGGTGACCTCCTGGCTCACACTGAGCAGGGCTGTGAGTTAGTAGACACTCCCATGACCCCCGGAAGAGACACAGCTGGAAGAGCTGACCCCTCGTGTGTGCACCACTCTCCCACGGTGTAGATGGTGTGAGGGGGTGAGAACAGCGCTACCACTGCTTCATGTTTGTTTAACACTCAGAGAAACGCTTTTTCTTTTCTCTAAGCCATTCCAGAACCAAGGCAACTTAGCCTCCGGGATAGAGATTAGAGCCCTGGAGGCAGGGACCGTGCATGGGCGTGACTCCTGGCCCCAGTCCTGGGCAGATTGCAGGTTCCAGCGCAAACATTTCTCACATAATTAAAGACAATAGAGTCATTTCTGTAAGGAACCTTCTAGAGACTTTAATGTTGGACGTAATATGGTCTAGAAAAACAATTTAATAATATAAGGTGATTGAATTTTGGAGAACCTGAAGCAACTTAGCCATATGCACCTTAGCTGTGTGTGTACAGACATCTCTGCAGTAAAGAAGAGAAGAAAATTGCTGGATAAGCTGACGGTCTGTGCATCTGATGAGGAGCTCCTGGACAGCCCCTGTGATCAAAAGCCCAGCTCTTCCTCTGGCAGTGTGGTGAGGACGAGGGAGTTCCTTGAGCACTGTCTCAGCCCCTGTGTAGGGAAGAGATGTGAGAGACACACAGAGGGAAAGCCCGCCCTTGGTTCCTAAGCTGGCAGGACGTGAGGGGCAGCACACAACAGGCAGCTGTTCTGTATTAAATCAGGTTGTGAATGTATATTCTGATCACTTATGCGTGATGGATAAGCCTGTGCTTGTATCGCTCCAGCGTGATCGTTGTGTGTGATTGCTGTTGTTCAGTTCTTCATCAGTGATAGGACTGTAGTGCGCCCCTGGTCAAGCTTGGGATTTCAGTTCAGTTCCAGGTTTTTGTTTTTTTTGTTTTCTGGAATTAGCGTTTGTATTCCATTGACTAAGAAGACACAGTAGAGCAGCCGTGAAACCTTAGCCACTAAGCTGAGGACGTCATGAAGCCTGTGGGGTGCAGCATTGCACATATTTATCTCTAGTTACCTTCCTGCTTATTGACCTATTTGCGGCTGTAAAGAATTTTTAAAGCAAATAGCTTTCTGCCTTGACAAGTTCCACATCAGCACAAGGAGAAGGAATGGCTGGGTAAAGGAAAGCGAAGTCTGAAAAGAAGGGGTGACGGGGGCACAGAGGAGGAGCCGCAGAAACGGTGAAAGGGGTGAAGTAAAGGCTGAATCAGTTTTGAAAGCGAAGCTGGCTCAAAATGTCGAAGGCATATAGGTATATTTATAGTCTATGCGTATAGTGGGGGGGGGGGTTAAAAGGAGAGAAAAGGTTGTACTTTCCGTTATCTCATTGACCTAATGCTGGTAGCCTGGAAAAACGTCAGATTTTCCTGGTGTTTGAGTGTATTTGAGCTGTAGAATGTATTAGTTTGAAAGTATTGGGTGTTTTAGGTTTGACGAAGGCACTGCACTACCTGGCATCCCAGACAGTGGTGAAGATCTGAATAATGCTCCAAACTGTAGAAGAGAAACCATTTGCCTTTTTCCTCAGTGTTGTGAACCGGCTCTTACAAGCTATCCATGTCAGGGTTCCTGGTGAGAACCCCGTGGTGGTAAATTCTAAATGTCAGCTTGATTAGTTTAGGGACCGCCTAGGGCATTAATGAAGCCTGCTTTTCCACGTGTTTATGAAGAGGTTTACATGGGGGCAGGGGAGACCCATCCTGACAGTGGATGGCGACATCCCTGACCTGAATTGGGGCGGTGGGGAGGGAGGGACGCAGATGAGTGATGACCTTCCCTTCCCTGCTTCCAGAGTGGAGCAAGCTGCTCAGACCAGCGGGGAATGCCAGGATAAACACTTCCTCCCTCAAGTTGCTTTTTGTGAGGTGAAAGGAACCAATAAAAAACAAACAAACAAAACAAGCCCTGCCTTCCTGATATCAAGTGGCTTTCCCTTATTCTCTGTTTCTGCACCAACTGGAGCTGCATTTCCCTGTCAGCGCAGCAGCAAGCTATCAAAGCAACTTCTGCTCCTTTGTTACAGTGTTGCACGAGGTGTCTCTCTCAGGCAGCCACTCTGTTCTAACTTGAAGCTGTTTTGATGTGTCTGCTCTTTTCCCATTATGCCTCTGACCTCCGCCGCCCTGCACGGAGAGGATCTAATTGTGTAGTTTGATGGAGTCTAAAAGGGCACGTTCATCTTGCTCAGCCTGTGCTTCACACACTGATCCTGGACTCAGCAGCCGCTGTCAGGGAGGCAGGGTCACAGCCGTACAGTGCCTTTGCCTTTGGTCACCCCAGGGTTGCTTCTCTTCGGGAAGATACACTCTGGGCTCAGGCTGTCCTGTTCAGCTCTGCCTAAACCCCCAGCCCCAGCCCCTTGATTCTTCCTCCCTGCCCCCCAACCTCTTCAGTGTCTGTCCCCAATTGAAGGGCTTTCATGGTACGCCCATCAACATCTCATTCCACCCCAGCCCAGACTCACAGACACCTGTAATGAACAGGTTCCCTCTACTTTATTCCCTTGCTCATTTTGCTTGTTTGTGCCACAGAAGCTGTCCTTGTATAGCAACACAGAAAACCCACATTCTAGTACCACATTGTTACCCTATTTAATAATCAGATATAAATTACAGGTTACAAACGATTACTTTTTGAGTATGTCTTTTTCTCTAGCAGCTGTGTGTAGAACTGTATGTTGGTGGAAAATGTGCTCAAATGATCTTTCCAACATCAGAACATTTCATGTAAAAAAAATGATTCCTGAGAAGACAGACCTGGTTTAACACAACATCCAAGCTTATTCTTTATTTCCCGGCCAGTGCTGGGCTTCCGTACATCTGGGCCTGAGGCGCATGGAACCCCATCTCAAAACAAAACGAAGTCTCCTCTGGCTGCATCTCTGAGGTGATGCTTCTGAAGTTATGATTTAACCTATGTATTTTTTTTTAACTTTGAAACAAAAGTGTTGGTTGAATGTCCCAGATAAGCATCCCATAGTAGCATTGCTGAGGTTGTAGGAGATGAGTGTCTTCCCCCAAGTGTCTGAAAGATTATGGAAGAATGAAATACACACTACAGCTAGGGGGTAGGGGAAAAAAAAAGCTTAACTTTCCTGGTTGGTGACATTGGTAGAGTTGGGTGTGCGTCGTGTAGCTGTGTATCCAACCTGGGTGGCTTCTGTCTTGGACCAGGTGGCCAGGAGCTCATACTGCCTTTTCTTTGAACTGTGCTTTGAAAATCATGGTCTCCGTTGGAAAAGTGGAGGATGCAGTGTGTCAGGGTCCTGCAGCCTTCTGTCCTCTGTAATTGGGAGCCATTAAGCACCTCCCTCGGCACCTCTGAGTTCTGCCTTGATTGGGGCTCTGATGTGGCCAGAGAGCAGTAGCTTTAGAAGTATATTCCAAACTGTCTTCTTGTTCTTTTGGTTCAGGCTTTCCTAAAATAGATGAACGTTATTGTGGGAAACAGGATTAGAGAAAGTTATTTTGTTTCCCAGAATACTTTGAAAAGCGTTTTTGCTCTCTGCCTTCTTAAGGAGGGTGTAGAGAAGTTGGTTCAACTGGAGAGACCAGTATTTGTAAGAAAGCTCTGCTAGGTGTGCCCAGCCTTTTGACATTGTGACAAGACTTTGCCATCTACAAAGTTCACACCATGAAATCATTAACACGCTCCCCAACCCCCAGTGCAAAACAATCTAATGTTGTCACTACATTTATGGTTTTATGTTGGGGTCTGTTCATAGCTAACCTGGGGTGCACAATTGTAGGTTGAACATTGCTGGATCGTTGCCCAAAATTGGTGACATTTTGTTCCCTTACGACTGAAGTTTCTTGTTCGGAAACACTCTACTGAGGGATTATAAAGGGGCTAGTATGTGCCCTTCAGTGTAGCTAAAGCTCTCCTGGGAGGATTGCACATAGAGAGAGGAGGGGGATCGCAGTCCAAACTCCTCCTCTTTCCTCACCCAGGAGGGAGGGAGGGAATGCCTTTGCCAGAGAGGAGGCCTGAGAACTGATTCTGCAGACTCCTCAGAGCTAACCCTCCCTCCTTCCCTCCCTCCCTCCTTTCTTCCTTCCTTTCTTTATTTCTTGAAAGGGTCTCTTTTTGTAGACTTGGCTGGCCTATAACAGAGATCCTCCTGCCTCTGCCTCCCAAGTGCTGGGATTAAAGGTGTACCATCACGTCCTGCCTTACAAGTCCTTAGGTTGGCTGGAGAGTTTGAACCTATGCAGAGGACACTGGCAGGAGCTCCTGTTTCCACCTTAGTTGTAGATTCTCAAGTTCCGGAAGCAGACATAGCACACGTTTGGCTAGAGTCCTATCAGACTTACATGGTACCTACCCAAAGGCTCTGCACCCGACTTCCTCATGTAATGTTCTGTCTCCTTATTCCTGTCCCTTTTTACTGTATGAACTGTTAAAAAAAAAAAAAAAAAGGACCTCCAGTATAAGAGGGCGGGGGTTGGCACTCAGGAGATGCCAGGCATACCCGCTTTGGGTTAGCCTGTTTGCTCTGTGCTAACAATTTGTCAAGTGTGCCCAAATGGTCCTTATGCGTAAACAGGGGAGTGCCTTCAGCTGTGTCCATGATCATAAGAAGGAAAAACACTTCTGAAGGGCGTGGGTGTGAAAGTTTCTTCACAGGCTTCCTCATGCTCTGGACCTGAGATTTCTGATTGAAAGCCACCTACCAATGTGCCTCCATTCATAATACCACCCTAAGTGACCTGCTGTGCTGTAGAGGAAATGGGTACCTTTGGATTCAGAATGGCTTCTGGTTGGTTATAAATCAGATTTCTGCTAAGGAGGGCTGGATACAGGTAAAGGTCTAATTTCCCCCAGCATCCTCCATGGAGAGACTAGTCAGGAACCCGGAGACAGACCAGAAGACGGAGGGGCCTAGAACTGCCGAGGGAGGTCCCCATGTCATTTCTGATTCTTGTTTCCTCACTTAAAACGCTCACTTTTGCCAGGTGCAGAAGCACACACGTCCCAGCAAACAAATGTGTGAACCGTCTTAATGGCTCCTAGGAACAGTCCTCTCAGGCTGTGACATTGTTGTGTTCAAGTTCCGAGAGTCGGTTTCCATTGCCCTTGAACCCTGTCTCTGCTCAGGGAATGATCTCCACATAACTCAGCCACCCACACTAGACCGCCCTTCTGAACATCTTGAGGTGCTGGGGTAACGGGGTGGTAGAGCCGTGAGGAAAGAGCTTTTCCAACTAGACACAAGCACGTCAAACGACCTTGTTTCCTCAGAGGCTCTGGTAGCGTTCCAGGAAGTAACTGTGCCGAGGTTATGCTTCATCTGTGGTTAGAAGGCAGACCTCGCCATGAAAGATCTGCTCCCTGGTTGCATCACCGGGACCTCGCTGTGACTGAGGCTCACCTACGTTTTTCTTCAGGTGCAAAGGTGCACAAAACCTCCATTGTCTGTTGAATGTGTCTCCTAGGAGAGGGAAGCTGCTCGCTGTGTTTTGATTACAGCTCTTCACATGCGCCTGGGCTAATTATTAGAAAGCACACATGGCTTTATCTTGGCCACGTAGGGAAGGCCACGCCAGTAATGCTCTCTTTGTTGTCCTTGGACCAGTCAGTGGTACAGGGAGTGTGGAGATAGAGGCCACTGTGGCCTGCTTTGTCACTCTTGAGTCTCAGAAGCTCGAGGTAGATGGCAGTCCTTGCAGCGTGTCCTTCCTCTTGGTCCCTCCTGCTCCACCGCTGACGTACAGCATCATGGCGGTCTCAGTGGACAGAACGCCGCAGCCACAGCGGCCTCCACAAGGACCTGGAGAGGGGGAGGAGTGGTAGCCTCAGGCCAAGAGCGTGGCCACCACTTAAGCCGCTTCTGCTGGATATAGCTGACTGATGCTTGCAGAGCTCACCACCCAGTGGCCACACTCGAGTTTGAGTTCTTTATCCTCCAAAGGCGCTTTATGTAGAGATTTTCCTCTTAATCCCAGGCCCTAGCAAGGGGCAAGTAGGATTTTCAGTTCCGTTGCTTATTGAAGAAAGTCCCACCTGGATTTTTCTAGAAAGAAAAATCAAAACGAGGTACATGCCTTCCTTGCTAAGAGGCACCTGCAGAATTTAAAGGGTAGGTGTTTACCCTTTTTTCCTACAGAGCAACCCCACCTTGCACAGGGAGTTAGATGCAGCCCTCGGTACCTGAGTAAGTGTCGTATTCATGGTCAGCCAGCCCAGGGTACCAATGCTGGGAAAAAGTGATGGGAGGGTCTAGAATCTGACTTTTTTGTTGTTCTGGGTTGTGGTCTTTTTTTGAGCTAGCTCTACTATTTACCTTGTCTGATGTGGAACTTCTTATACAGACCAGGCTGGCCACAAACTCAGTGAGATCTGTCTGCCTCTGTCTCCCAGGGGAGATTAAAAGTGTGTGCCCCCACACCGTGCTAAATGTGATGCTTTTAATGTGGTAAAATTTCAAAAGATACAGCAAATGAAGATAATCACTTTAGCCGGTTTTTATTTTACACATTCATTCTCATGGGAACTTGACTTCATTACCTGTGACATTTTGACAAGGAGCTCTCCCTTTTCATGTCTCAGATACTTAGCGTTTCTGTCGTGGGATGGAAGGCGGAACAGTAATCAGTGCCCTCTGATGACATGGCGCTCTCTCCAACTGGGTCTCCTGCAGACACCACACCCACCTCCTCACCCTGCTTTCTGGTTCCCCTGTTCACCCCTGCTTTGTATCTTAAGTCTTTGAAGTTCTAAAAGGTCTGTGAGTGACGGACTTAACTGTCCTTGAAAGACGACATAAGATTAAAAATATATCCACGCCTAGGATGCTACATCATGGTGCCAGTCTAGAGAAAAATAGTATTGGGTGTGGTCTGTTATGAAGTCTAGCATAGAAATTATTGAAAATTTGGACAGAAAACCTCTAGAGAGAATTTCGTCCATCCTCACTGGGGCGGTGAAAAACCACAGTCATCCCTGTCCGACCTTCCCAGCCCACAGCGCTCAGTCGCTGTGTGACGCTATTCAGAGTCCTGTGCTGTTCTTTGACCTATAAACTCTGACTGTTTTCATGTGGAGAAGGTTACAAAATGGAAAACGCAGAAGGGAAGTTAAAAGAAACATCAGACGTTAAACTCAGCACCCGTGCGAGCGTACCACGCTTGGCATTTATTTCTCACATCCAATTGAATGGAAGTATGACCATGTGTCTTCCTAGCCTTATCCAAGCGTGCTGCTCGCGGTAGGCATCTGTATGTTCACCAGCTGGGCTGTTGTCTCAAGGGCCGTGGGCCTTGAGCCCCCTAGATCCTGGCTCTCAGTTACCCCTTCCCTCCAACACTCTCTCACTGAGATCAGTAGTCCGAGACCACCAGCTTACAGTCTCAACCGCACACTTAATTCTCTTGAGAACTTTAGGAGAGGTGCCTTGAGGTTCTGTTTCATGGTCAGGATGAGGCCAGGGATTAATAATTCTTTAAAAGCTCCCAGGGTTGTCATGCTATGCAGCCTCAATGGCACCCACAGTTGTTCCAGATTTCATGTGGTCGGAATCACCTATTCAAACACTGGCCAGCTGGTAAAATCACAGCACTCAAGGTGGAGGCAGGAGGATCATCACTTCAACCTGTGACCCTGCCTCTCTTCCTACACACAAACTCCACATCGGGCTTTCTGCCCATACATTTCAGAGTCAGGAGATCTAAGGTAGGGCCCAAGATGGTTAAAGGTTCCCGGGTGGCGTCAGCTCTGCTGCTGGGGGACAGTACTTTGAAGCAACATCATTAGAGTCTCAAGAATTTGTGACCCGGTGATGTAGGTTTTAAATTCTGAAGGGGTGGGGTAGTTCAAGGGTCCTGGATGCTGCTGGTGGCGCTGGACGCGGGTACACACTTAGCAGGTGACTGGGTCCTTGTGTGTCTTGAGCTTGCTTGAGATGAGACCTAAAGCGTGCCGATCATCAGGAACACTCAAGATTGTTCTAGACTGTAGAAGAAAGTAAACAGACTTGGAGCTGTGGTTTTCATAGACAAACGGCATCCCATGGCTGTTAGGAACATAGCAGGTGGGCACCGTGGAAAGAGAGTAATTAAAATAAACTTTTTATCCCGACCACTAGAGCGGATCTTAAGGTCTCATCATAGGCCACTTGTCTCACTATGTGCTGGTGAGGAGACAGGCTCTCTAAGGGAGCCAGTGAAAACTGCAGGACCAGCAGAAGCTTGCACCCCAGTTCTGGGGTCCTTCTGTGCTGCCACAGCTGTCTGCAGACAGCTAATCTGTGAGTATAGAGGATGACCCAGCAACAGAACAGAAAGTGGCAAGGAATAAGGAGAATGTACTACATTGCTCCTAGTGTTTAAAGTGTAGCTCCAGTCCAGTGGTCTTGGTACTGGCAATTTATGGACTTGTTAGAACTACAAATTGCTGTGCCCCCATTCCCTGAATAGCCGGTGACTGGCGCACTCCCATCAGAGTGCCCTCAGGTTTGGAGAGTCCAGGTTTAGGGAACGTGCATAAAGAGACAGGATGACATCTTGGACTGGTCTGTGCTGGCTGAGGCACCAGGTGGAGGGAGTTTGTGAAGGCAGCGGCCTGGGAGTGACTTCAGGCTCCCGCTTCAACCTTCCTGAGTGAATGAAGGGGAAGCAGCAAGCCTGAGAATGACTGTTTTACTTTGAGCGAACTCGCCAGTGTAGCCACAAGTAACTTTTCACAAATGGATGAAGTTGAACAGGGCCCTGATACAGTAACGACTTGTTCTTCTCTGTTTTAGCTGGTGACAGGTGTGTGGGAAGGCAAATACAACTTCTTCTGTCAGGGAACACACTCCGCAGGAGAGGCAGACATGAAGGTACTGTTTGAGAGGTGGGGGTGGGTGGGCGTGTCTGGGTGTTTTTGGTTTTTCAATAAAGAACTTACACAAAAGATGAAGAAGACCATACCCTCCCGATCCTGATCATTTCTGTTGACGTTTTGAAGAGGGAAAGAAGGAAGTGCTGGGCATGTGGTATGAAGATTTGAACAGAATGAAGAACTTAGGCCTCTCCCTCTCTGAAGAAGAGGCTCTTGTGAGCAGTTGACAAGAGAAGATTGTATTTATCAGGTTTCATACATACACGAAAGAGATCGTTCAGATTTAAAGTCACTCTTGTAAGTGACTTTATAATGACATAGAATAAGCCCTCTGGGTTGTGACAGTAAAAATAAACTCCAGCTTCCACTCTGAGAACTGGAGTTTTCGGCTGACAGTCAAAAGTTCAGCATGGCCTACGTTACCTCTGGACATACCGGTTGGTGCTTTCGTTTGGATTTAGTTTCACTTTGAGATAGGGTCTTTTATAGCTTCAAATTCTGCGTGGCTAAAGATGATCCTGACCTCTCAATTCTCTGGCTCCTGCCTCCAAGTCCTGGGGTTGCAGGTGTGCACCTTCCTGTTCTTGTTAAGCGTGTGCGAGAGTTCCAGAGCCCTTTGAATCCCTGCTGCCGTTTTCAGGGTTCCCAGGATAGCATGTTCTTCCACTAAAGGCGCCCAACAGTGGCTGGAGCCCAGGCTCAGGAAGGCACCAGGAGCCAGTGGACTCGCTAGCTTTATTTTTGTGTTGGGTATACGTGTGTACGACATGTCGCAGGTGACATCCCAGAAAAGCGCTGGAGATTTTATAAACCATAAACCCTTTGCTTTTAGGTCATCCGTGTCCTGTGGTGGTACTACTTCTCCAAACTCATAGAATTCATGGACACCTTCTTCTTCATCCTCCGCAAGAACAACCACCAGATAACAGTCCTCCATGTCTACCACCATGCCACCATGTTGAACATCTGGTGGTTTGTGATGAACTGGGTTCCCTGCGGCCATTGTAAGTACTAGGGTGTTTGGGGACATGTGACAGAGACAGACCAGAAGCTTAGACACTCAGGGAAGATGTTGTCTCTGTGAATTTCCAGGTTAAGCTTTTGAATTTGTGTTCAGGCTTTTTTCTTTTTCTATTTATTATTATTGTTGTTGTTGTTTACACTGTAAAGGGTTTCATTGTGACATTTTCAAATCATTATACTTTTTCTCATTTGTCCCTCCTCCCACTACCCTCTCATGTTCCCTTTAACCCTTTTTGGTTCCCTCCTTTCTACTTTCTTGTAACATATAGTAGACTTAGTAATCCTAAGCAGAAAGAGCAGTGTTAAAGATATCGCAAGGTCCAGTCCCAAATTATCCCACAGAGCCATAGTAACAAGAGCAGTTTAGTACTGGCACAAAAGGGGACATATAGACTAAAGAGTAGACTACAAGACCAGAAAACACACAGCTACCACATAAGCTTTGACAAAGGTGTCAGCAGAAACCATCATTGTTTTTTTTGAAAAGACAAACCCAAAACCCCACAAATCATTCATTAGTTAATGGACCATTGAATTCAACACACAGTTCATTAAAGGAAACGCAAATGCCTAATAAATACTTTTTTTAATTAATTTATTTATTTATTAAAGATTTCTGTCTCTTCCCCGCCACCGCCTCCCATTTCCCTCTCCCTTCCCCAATCAAGTCCCCCTCCCAAAGAACGATCAGGGTTCCCTGCCGGACTCACTAATAAATACTTTTTAAAAGCGCTCAGTGTCCTTTAGCTATCAGGAAAATGCAAATTGAAACTGCTTTGAGAGCCTGTCTTGCTCTGGTCAGAATAATTATCAAGAGAAGGAATCTAAAACTGCCGTAGGATCCTGCTGTACTGCTGTAACTAGCCAAGGACTCCGAGTCAGTGTACCACAGAGATACAAGCACATCCAGGGTTACTGCTGCTCTCTTCACCAGAGCCAACAAATGGAACCAGGCTGGGTGGCCAACACAGATGAAAATATACGGTGCACAGTAAAATTTTATACAGATAAAAATCATGGCATTTGTAGGAAAATGGAGGCGACTGGATGTAGCCGGGCTTTCTTTAGACTGCCAGTTCCCAAATAGTGACACAGAGATTTGCTGTTAAATATGAATGACTTGCCTTAGCTTAGACTTCTTCCCAACTAGCTCTTAAAACTTAACCTGATTCTGTTCATCTATGTTCTGCCATGTGGATCGTTACCTCTGCTCAGTATGGTGCATGGTGCCTCTCGCTCACTCAGTGTCTGCCTGGCAAATCTCTGCCGTGCTGATTCCTTCCCAGAGTTCCTGTCTCTGCCTGGGGGTCCCACCTAGCCTCTCCAACCTAGCTGCTGGTGATTCAAAGCTGTATTAGACCCCCCAGAAGGCGCCTTGGCAGAGACACATCTTCAGCGTGTAGAAAAAGATTACCTCACATCAAAATGAAATGAAATACCGCATGTTGTATATCATACGTGAACCTAAATATAAAATTGTATCTGTATGTGTATTGATGTGTAGGTCACAAAAGTAGAAAAAGGATCATGAGAGAGGAGGAAGAGAGCTTAAGGGAGGGGGAAGGGAACAAACGAGAACAAAGCACATTGACAGAAATGTATGAAGGTTCCACGATGAAACCTGTTACTCTGTATGCTAATTTAAAATTGAAATGATTAAAAGACAAGCCTCTTCAATAGGTGGTTATGGAAAACCCAGAAATCCAAGTGTAAATCAGTGAAACAGGACACACAGATCTCTTGCTCCACACAAAAATCAATCCCAAATGGGTCAAAGACTTTAAAGTAAGACCGGAAGTTCTGAACCTGTCTGAGGAAACCAGTGGCTTCAAGACACAGAAATAGGAAGGACTTTGCAAAGAGGACCTGGGTTGCTTTCGATGAGTTTATGTAGCCGAAGGGCACAGAACCTTTCTCTTGCAGCCAGTGTCTTGATCTGTTCAAGTAAGAAGTTGTGGGATGGTGGGCAGATAAGTTGATTCAGCAGGTAAAGGTGTTTGCTGCCAGGCCTAATGGCCTGAGACCACTCATGTGGTGGAAGGAGAGAACCAACTCCCACAAGCCTCCTTCTGTCTAGTGTGGAAGGTGTGTGCCTGCTAAGTGATGGAATCTGTCTCGTACAGTAGGTGTGTGCATGCGTCAGTGAGCGAGACATTCGTGGCTCCACCACACATCAGGAAGCCCCCATGCGCTCTTACTGAGTGGGGCTGGCAGGGCGGTTTCCATAGCATCCACTCAAGCTTACTAGTTCTTTAAGGTTGGGTTTGATGCTGTCAAGTGCATCTTCAGGTTTCGCTTAGGAATCCAGCAGATATCTCAGTCACGTGATTTTTTTTTTTTTTAATCCTGCCATGGAGGAATTTGAGAAGCTTTGGATCTGCTCACGGGTCGCTCCCTGCCCCCCAACATGGTTGCTGATGAACTCTGCCCACTGAGACTGACAGCTCCATTTGGTTTCTAACTAGAAAAGATTTCCTAAATGCAGTGCCTTTGGACTTGGGAGAAGAGTGAGACCCAGAAGGGAGGGTTGAGCTCAAACACTCTTGAGCTGGTGTTTCTCCCTCATCACCTGCGGATAAGCTATCCCGAAGTCTGCTAGGGACAGCCCTCCATTGATTACATTTGAAGAATATTTTACATTTCAAGGTATCTCAGGACAAGCTAGCCCCACCTGGCCCGTTGAAAACTAGAGAGCATACATGACCTATGCAAGGCTATAGGACCAGTTTCTGTCACAGCCAGTAGAAACTCCTACTAATATAACCCCGTGTGTCTGAAAGGAGCACGGAGCTTTGGTTCATTATTTACTGTTGATGCTGAAAGTATAAAAAAAAAATGATATTGTACTAAAAATTGGAAATTGTGATAAAATGGATCTTTCATCTTGAAGGAACTGGCTGTAGATTCTCTGTTAATAAAACCCTAACTGTAGTCCTGGGGAGTAATCATAACTTCAAAGTCTCCAGACCTCAGCAAAAGAATGGAAACAGCCTTCTTAGAGCATTCTGTCCATTGCTTATCCTTGCCCAGTCTTCAGAATGGTACGTTGTAGGCATCTGGGAGGAGAAGTCTGCCTCCCTGTCTGCCAGCCACACATGCAGGTGCCAGGTCTGGGGCACAAGTAGTCATGGGCCCTCCCAAGTGGAAAGTGACTTTTCATTACACGTCCGACTAGTCCGTATAGCTGCGGTGTTTGTTGCCCTCTGTCGAGAGGAAGTTCTCTACCTCCAACAGTGTCTTGGATTTCCCCCACCTCTTCCTTACAGACCTCTAACGCACCCTTCCCCTTGCTCTTGCAGCTTATTTCGGTGCGACACTCAACACCTTCATCCATGTCCTCATGTACTCGTACTATGGTTTGTCCTCTGTTCCTTCCATACGTCCCTACCTCTGGTGGAAAAAATACATCACTCAGGGGCAGCTGGTGAGTAACTTCGTCCCTGTGCCCAGAACTGGCTCCCTGCTGGACACAGTCCTCTTCCAGGCCATACTGTTGTTTAAGTGAATCCAGTTGATGCCGTTCAGGTTGTCATAGGCAGGTTTCGGGGATGCTCTTGTTTCTAGAGGACGGGGAGACTGCTCTGGACTGGGGATGCCTCGAGTCTTGAGCTCCCATCTTCAGGTCAGTCTTAGTTTTTACTCATGTGTGTATAAGCACACTTAGTGTGCACAGGTGTACCTGTGTATACACTCTCATTTCCAAAACGAAGATGAGAGCTGCTTATCTGTGTTGCCAGGAATTTCAGGGAGCTGAGATCAGAGCCCTTGCAGCTTCCTAGACAGTGAGCCTATTGGCTAAGGTTCAAGGTGATGACTCTGGCCCCCTGGAGCAGAGCACCCCGCGGTGATGGGCCCTGGCAGAAGCAGGCCAGTAACGGTCTGGTCTATGATCCTTCGCACCATTCTTTCTTGAGCTGTGGCCAGTTGTCGGTATATCATAGGTACACCGTCCTTCCCCTCGTGAAAGCTTCCTGAGCTAATTAGTAATGCTACCATGTCTCCACACGGGCGTGTTTTGTTCTGGATGTCAAGCACTCATGCTAAGTAAATGGTCTCTCCCTTTTGTAGGTGAACACATTGAGGCAGGAGGCTAAGGCTGGCTGCAGGGACAGGAACTGAGCCCTCCAGCCCAGGCTTGCCACATTCCTTTGTTCCAAATGAATCTAATTTAGATTCCCCCTGAATCAATCTTTACTTTTCAAAATTTAAAAATAACAATCTGAGAAGCTTGAGCTCCTTCTGCATTTGGTGTTTCATTATCACCTCTGCCAGCTGCTCGGAGGTCCTTGTTAATCTTTTTCTCACCTGTGAGAAAGGGTAATTGTTCTCTGGCCTCCTCTGGTAGCAGAGCTAAGGAAGGATGCAGAGATGGAGCTATGCCTAGTCACAGCTCTGGCAGACAGAATGTGGAAGAACACGTTGGGCCTTGACGTCCTGCTGGGCTCTCTGTGTCGTCTGCCTAGCTCCGTTTTTTCCTCCGGGGACTAGCCTGAAGAAATAGAGGGAAACTGAGAGAGCCGGTGGGATTTCTGAGATATCCCCGGGCTGGCCTCCTTCCTGTTGCTCCTCCTGGGCGTGCTTTAGTCGTCACGTGCCTTTAACACGCCCACCTGTTTTTCAAGGTTGCCCATCAGAAGTCTGCTACAGAACTAGCATTGTGGCCAAGTTTTCAGGAAGCTTTCACCACGTCAGAGTGAGCACATCCGAAGTAGGAAGTGTGTCAGTCAGATCGTGTGTGACACATGCAATCAGTGACTTAAAACACACTGCTCACTCCTCTCTCTGGTATCTCTTTATGCTGAGTCCCAGAATTTTGGAGAAAGGTTTTTGTTTTTTTTTTTTTTTGAGGGTGAACTTTTTGTTTAATTATTATATCACAAAAAACATAAAGGACTCAAGATGGCTTGATGGCATAATTTGCATCCTTTGGTGAACTGTAAAGTGCTAAAATAGAAAATGCAAGGAAAGAACTGTAAACAGGAGAAAGGTGTTTTAATAGCTTTGAGGAGAGAGGGGAGACCGATGTACAGGGGTTAGGATCAAAGGTGTTATTGAAGACCAGCAAATGCTGGGCTCCAAAACTTGGCTGGGTGCTCTGATCCCAGTCCCCCGGCTGGAACCCCGTGTGTTCTCTGCTGCTGCTTAGCGCTGGCCTTGCTCCTGCAGGTCCAGTTTGTGCTGACAATCATTCAGACGAGCTGCGGACTCATCTGGCGGTGTAACTTCCCCCTCGGGTGGTTGTATTTCCAGATCGGATACATGATCTCCCTGATCACGCTCTTCACAAACTTCTATATTCAGGTAAATCTCACCCTGAGCTGACCCCTGACCTTCAGCCTTTCTCTCAGTAGGGCTGTGTGGAGCCACCGCTGGGTGCTGGCCCTGTGCTCTGCAGGAACCTTTGTAGGGATAGAGGAACTGCCCACTTTGCTCTCGATACTGAGACTTGGGCATCTTGGGACTCGGTGGGAAATGCCACGTTTAGCGGGGTGCTTTTTTTTTTTCCTGCCCTCTGGCCTAGTGCAGAGACATAAAGAGGTGATTTTTCAGTCAGAAGTCTCAGCCCCACTGCCCTGCTTATTAGAGAGCTAAGTGACATTTCCATCAAAGTCCTCTGATGGAATTGAAAGCTGCCATTTTGTCCCACTCTTCCTACATGCCCACTGCTCAAGTTCGGGGCTTGAGTTTGGTCAGGTTTGTGTTCACAGACTGTCTCTGGGGCGTCTGACCACCTGGCACACACTGAGAATTCTCCTGCTTCTGTGTCCAGTGCCAAGTGGCTTCAGTCCCCACTGACCTGGGCAGGAGGTCAGGAAGAAGGGCAAAGGAAATGGGTCCTGAGTAGAGGCCAGGAGTGTGGAACAGCCCCGTGGAGGCTCAGCCATTGTTTCTCTTCTGTGTCTGTGACTTGGTGATTCCTGGTCCCTGACTATGGGACCTTTTTTTAGTTGCTCCTAGCAGCATAGTACTCAGTACAAGAGAGCTGAGGTAGGAGCTGGGGCAATAAGAAAAAAGATTTAATGGCAAGCAATGGAGCTACTATCCAGTGGGAGAAGCCAATTTAGTCACAGCCCGTCGCTCCACCATCTAGATCGCGTGAGGCGAAGCAGAATGGACATAAATGTTATAAATGTTTATATATAAATGTTTTTATAAATTTATATATAAATGTATTCTATATAAATGTTTCTCTTGTGGCCTAGGAGTCAGAGAATTTATAAGCTAAACCTAAAAAAAAAAAAAAAACACAGAAGTGTGATTGCAGTAGAAAAATGGTTATTTGAGCATACGAATGACTTGATAAGATTTATCAGATAAGGAAAGCAGGCCTTGTTAGGTGCAGCCTGGTACAGTTCTCCTGGTTAGCCGGCACTCACCTGCCTTGTCCATTTCAGACTTACAGCAAGAAAGGGGCCTCTCGGACGAAAGAGCACCTGAAGGGCCACCAGAACGGGTCCATGGCTGCCATCAACGGACACAGCAACAGCTTCTCTTCCCTGGAAGGCAGCGCGAAGCAGAGGAAGCAGAGGAAGGATTGACAGGGCAGAGCCGAACCCTGCAGACCACGGCGTGTGATTGTAAGCACAGTATGAGTTGTGCCCCGACGCTCGTAACAGCTGCTCTCACTATTCTGGCCTACTGTAGTGTGATTTACGTAGGACCTTCCTCATCAGTTCCAAGTCCCTAGAATATGTATACAGATTATACAAGTAGGCAAACAACCTCTCACATTTCTGGGCTCTCCTCGACCCCTGCGCTAGACTGTGGAAAGGGAGTGTTATTGTAGTATACGACACTGCTGTTGCCTTATTAGTTCTAACATGATAGGTGCTGAATTGTGGTTCACAATTTAAAACACTGTAACCCAAACTTTTTTTTTTTAAGCGTAGACCATGCATGTGATTGTGAATGTGAATTTGTACAATGTTGTTAACAGTAGAAAAACACACATGCCTTAAGACTTAAAAAAAAAAAAAAGCAGGGCCCAAAGCTTAGTAGTTTAATTAGGGTATGTTTCAACTTTGTATTCATTTGTAATAGCTCTGTTTAGAAAAAAAAAATCAAATCTGTGATTTCTGAAGCTAGAGTACGCTGTGTGACTCAAGTGTCCTGGAGATGCAGAATATGATGGGCACCTTCGGTTTTATAATGGTGGCTTTTCGTCAACAGGCCCAAGCCTAGTGGGACAGTCAGTTTAACTTTTTAACAGATCTTATTTTTTTATTTTGAGTGCCACTATTAGTGTGTTTAAAGAGGTGGGGAAAGGGTCCAAAGATGTCTTGAGACACTTACATATCTCTTGTTGGTCCCCCCCACCCCCCCTCCTGAGTCAGGGTGACTATAGGAGGGTGAACAGGCCACTTTACACTTCGGAAGTGCTGAGTGTTTATATGCAGGAGACAGAAGTCCACTCTCCTTCCCGCCGTTTGGAAAGAGGAGAAATACCTTTCAGGAAGGGTGACTAGGTACACATTACGGACAGTCACAGGGACCGACGATGGGGAACTGATTACCTGGGTCCAAATTTTGTATTGTTTTTCTGTAGTGCTATTTTGACATATACTTCCTTTTTAAATGTGCCTAATTCACCACGAGACCAGGAAGCACCTTAAGTATTTTGAGGTAAAATTAAAGACATAGCTAGAGCATGAAGGAACGGGCATCTGGGGAATGATTGCTTATTCAGTGTAAAGCTTGGCAGCGTCTGTAATTTTTTTTTTTCTGCTTAGCATCTAAAGATTGGTTTAAAGCGCTTGTTTAAAAGTAACAGACTGCTTATCTTAAAATCGTGTCTCGTGCACCTGAGACAGTGGTCATACAGATGGGGACTCTTAGGTGTGTCATTTTTTTAAAGTGTTGAAAGTTTAGCCTTTGAATACCTTCTGCATTGAAAAAAGAAATTCATGGAACCACTCACGACACATCTCAGCAGATGATTGACAATGTATAAACTAATTGTGGGTTTGATATTTGTGTAAATACCAGTTTACCATGCTTTAATTTTGCACATTCATATTATAAGGAGCCAATTGGTCCTAATTAGTCTTGTGGGTTTTCTGTTTGGAAGGAGTTGCAGCATCTGTTTACATTTATCAAATTTAGAATGTGTGTATTTGTGTGTGTGTTCATCCTAGGTACCAGTTTGCAGGTGTCTTTACGTATTTCAGTACAAAGACTATAACATTCAGTAGCGTGCTGTCAAAGTGTGCTTAGCTCATCTGGATATACCCACACTGTTAATAATGTCTAAACATTAATCATTAAAACATTTTTGATTACCAGTTCCGTGTTTTCATTGTTCGATGGGCTGGAGGTTGGTCGACTCTATCACTGTATAGGAACTTAGGGAGTGGATGTAACACCGTGTGACAGTGGTTGTATTAGTCAGGGCTCTCTAGAGGGACAGAACTTACAGAAGGATGCATACATACATCTGTATTTTAGATTGATTAGATTGGCTTACAAGCTGAGGTCCATCTAGCCCAACAATGGCTGTCTACAAATGGAAGACCCAAGAAGCCAGTAGTTATTGAGCCTATGAGGCTGGATATCCCAGCTGCTCTTCAGTGTGTACTGGAACCCCAAAGCAATAGGATCTAATGTCAGTGAAGGAATGGATTTGCTAACCAGAGTAAGAGCAAGCAGGCAAAGAGAAGAGAGCTGCCTTTTTCTGTGTCCTTTTTATAGGCTGCCAGCAAAAAGTGTGGCCCACATTAAAAATGACCTTTCCACCCCAAAGATCCATATTAGAAGTAGGTCTTCCCACTTCAAATTATTTAATTCAGCTTTAAAAAAAATTAGATTTATTTTATGTATATGTGTGTTTTGCCTGTATATATGTGTACCATGTGCCCAATCAAGTCGGAAAGTGTTGGCACTTCTAGAACTGGAATTGCAGATGGTTGTGAGCCACCATGGGGTGCTGGGATTTAAACTCAGGACTTCTGCAAGAACAGTGCTCTTAACCACTGAGCCATCTCTCCAGTCCCCAAATGATTTAAGAAAGAAAATCCCTCACTGGTGTGTCCAGCCAGTTGGGTTTTAGTTAAGTCCAGATGTAGTCAAGTGGACAACCAAGGATTGCCACCCCATGAGATAAAGCAGTGTCCCCCAACCCAGCTCCTCCTGCCCCCCCCCCCCCCCCCCCCCCCCCCCCCCGCACTAGAGTGTAATGCAGACAGATTGCAACGAATGCAGACAGCTTTAATGGAGGAATAGACTTACAGAACCACCATTCCCACAGAGACCAGAAAAGCAGAAGCAGTGTCTGGGAGCATGCTCGCCAAATTTATAGGCAAACATTAGCCCGAGGCGAACACGCCCTCTAAGGGGCGGGACTTATCCCTACATCTCCCCTTTTTGTCTAAATAAGACAGAACTAAACCAAATACAACTATATACAATAATAACAAATAATAAATATAACAAACTATTGAGAATCAAAAGTTTTGCTAAACATTCTATCTCAAGGAGTCTAAATAGTGTAGAGAGTAACTACAATTATATAATCTTCAACTCCGTCAAAGATCTGAGAAGGGAATAAATATTACTTAACAAACGAGATATATCCAAAATGTGCAACAATTGACAGAGACAACTGACTACCTAGGCAATCATCCAAAGTCTCGTTTGCAATGTTGAGTCAACCAACTTTGGCTAAGGCCTAACATAACTGACATACCATTATTAAAGGCAAGGAACTTTCTTAGAACTATCCTACCCTGTCTTGGCAGGACAAGACAATCCTGTTTCATTGTCAGAAGTTGAGGTATGGGCTTTTCTTAACCCAAAGGCCAGTTCTGCCAAGAAGACAAGCTCCCA